CTAGGGAAACACTCAGCATGGGACTTTGCAAGTAATGATGATCCATCAGTTGATCATCAACTGTGCATTTGCCAGTCGATTTTCCTTAGATACTCAAGGTATATTACAGTTGCTCAGATAAGATTCCATTTTCTCAAAGTCCTCTTTTTCACAGTGGTATAGTGAAGTATAAAAAAAAATTCAAACGGTTTCCTTATTTCTTTTGCGCTAACATATTATTTATCCACTAATTCTTTCTTCTTTAGTTGCTATGCTAGCAATTTACCACGTTGTTTATATTTATTTATTTTTAAATTTCTATACTGCTTTATATTTTTAATAAAAATCTCAAAGCAGTTTACATCATATTAAATCAATAAATCAGTAAAATAATTGCCAGGGAATGTTCCTCCGGCCTCATGAGGAGCCTCTTCAGTAGGTTTATTAGCAAATTCAAAAATGTTCTGTTTCATTAATTTAATTTTCTGCTTGATCTCTTGGTTAACTAACATCAAAAATTGTGCTTGCAGGAGTTTAATCGCTTGAGAAATATCTGTGTCCTTTGGTTTTACAATTAACTCCTCATTTTCCAATAAAACATCTAATATCTCCTGTTTCCTTTTCTCCCTTCCCCTTTTTTGAAAGGCACTTTGCTAAATTAAAAACCTCTCATTACTGCCTTGCTGTTTAGGTTGAGGTCAAAAAATTCTCGAAGGGAGTGTTGCCCCCTAACAACAACAACAACAACAAACCTTTATTGTCCCTACGCCACCTGTGTGCAGTGAAATTAAACGAGCCCCCCTCCCCCCCATACACTCATTTTGTTCGCACTCGGAAGTCAATTGCAGCACTATTTTTTTTACCATTCAGCAACCCAACAGCCCACGGATAAAAACTGATCTTTAACCTCTTGGTGCGACTGACTATTATGATTATGAATATTATTAAAAATCAGGTTTCTGTTCATTGGGGGCATAGATTCCCACTACGGAAATTGCTTCCCCATCTAGACTCACGTCAATCGCCATCATTTGCACAATTTTCTTCAAACTGCATGCTTTGCTTGCAAGGGCTTTTATGTCTGTTGATAATTCACTTACCACTTTGGTGTGGCTTTGAAGATCTTTCCGCACTTCCATCATTACCTATACAAGGCAAATTTTTGGTTCTTCCTCTTGGAGAGAGCCATTCCTTGCTTGGCCAGGTGTCTGTGTCAGATTCTTCTTTTGTGAGGCCATTTTTATTTTAATTGCCCAACCAAAGGAAAAAAACAAAATAAAGATGTACAAAGGCTAACAGTAACATTTTGAGTTTTGCTATACATTTATATATATACTGTACTACAGCCTCACACACTTTGCCTCATTCACTACACCCACCCACTCTCCCACTTTTAGTGCAACTTATACATAATAAAGATTTTCAGAAAAGCTCTTAATTTGCCCCACCTAGAATTTTTAGTCACATCCCCTCCATTAATTGCATGGCAAAAGAAAGCTACATGTCCTTCTCCTTGTATATACAGGTGCTGCCCCTTGCCAGGTGTAACGACCACTGTCATCCAGGCTACAGCAGAAAAAAGAAGGAGGGGGAGCCATTTTGTTGCTATGATTGTGTTCCATGTCCTGATGGGATGGCTTCAAGCAAAATAGGTATACTACATAATTTAGTACAGCTCCCCATACTCAGCAGCAGTTTATTTCTCTAAAACAGGCGAATAATTATCACCATCACCACCATCTCCTCATGGCAAATTACAGCATATAAGAGCATGGCTTAATAAAGCAACAACCCATTACTAAAAAATCAGTTACCTATTCAACCCTTTAAAGGGAATGTTAAGATCAGTTTAACTGATGCAATTGATCATAAGATTTGACAAATTGAATATATATATTGAATATACACAACACACTTCTTTATCATTATTGTCATAACTTCTGTGTGGGGGAAAAATAGTATATCAGTACTGTAACTGATTTCCAATTTAAGTATGGCAGCATTTTAAACAGTACCCTAGATCTGAAACATTTAGTATATATTGATATGTGTGCCAAATTATCTGAGAGAGGAGAAGTTCTGGGCTGCAGCACATAAGTGTCTTTTGCTCCAATAAGATCATTGGAGGGTTATGGCATTTTCTAATTTTCTCGGGACAGTCATAACCCCAAAATGCTGTATAGTTGAGTCCACTTTTATCAAAATTTCACAATCTATCACTGTTTCCAATGTAATGCTAACAGAACAACAGCAATTAGAGAGAAACGATCACTTCCTTTTTCTACAGGATATTTCTCAGGACTACATGAATTTATATTATATGTATTTAATATTCCAGACATGGACAAGTGCTTCAAATGCCCAGAAAACCAATATCCAAGTAAGGACCGAGATCAATGCATTCCCAAGACCCTGAATTTCCTCTCTTTCTCAGAGCCCTTGGGGTTCACTTTAGCTTTCTTGTCTCTGTTTTATTCTCTGATCACAGCTTTGGTGTTGGCAATATTCACTAAGCACTGGAACACACCGATTGTCAAAGCCAACAATCGGGACGTCACCTTCTCTCTGATCATCTCTCTATTCCTCTGCTTCCTCTGCTCCTTGCTGTTCATTGGCCAGCCTCACACAGTGACCTGCTATTTACGACAAACTGCTTTTGGTATCATCTTTTCTGTGGCTGTTTCATGCGTATTGGCCAAAACCATCACTGTGGTTCTGGCTTTCAAGGCCACCAAGCCAGGATCCCGGATGAAGAAATGGGTGGGGAAAAGATTGTCCAGTTCCAGTCTTCTTGGTTGTTCCTTTACCCAAGCCAGTATTTGTACCACGTGGCTATGTACTGCTCCTCCATTCCCAGATTTTGACATGTACTCTCTGACTGAAGAAATTGTGATGGAATGCAATGAAGGCTCTGTTAGTATGTTTTATTGTGTCCTGGGTTACCTGGGATTCTTGGCCATTGTCAGCTTCAGTTTGGCTTTCCAGGCCAGAAAGCTGCCAGACAGTTTCAATGAAGCCAAGTTCATCACTTTCAGCATGTTGGTGTTTTGCAGTGTTTGGTTATCCTTTGTGCCCTCCTACTTGAGCACAAAGGGGAAGCACATGGTGGCCGTGGAGATCTTCTCCATCTTGTCCTCTAGTGCTGGGTTACTGGCTTGTATCTTCTTCCCCAAATGCTACATAATTATCCTGAAACCTGAATTAAACAGGAAAGAACAGCTTATTAGGAGAAACTACTAAGCATCTATGGATTTGTTGAATGTGTAATTTTAAGTAATGAAGTTTATGAGAAGAAAGCAAAACATATAGAAATACCCATTTATATTTCCCTGGTACTGTATTCTTTTTCTCACAATAAATGTATCCCACATTCTATTGTACATTTGAGTTTGTTGAAATACTATCTGTCATTGAGTATTGCACTTAAAACTGGAAGTAGGAAAAGGGTTATGTAAGAAACAGTATTGGGGTGATGGTGATACACATGCTTGGAATATTTGTGGATAAATTATTTTACACTTCATAAATCATAGGACAAATAAGAATAGCCGAGAAAAAGGTGAAGAAATGGGCGGAATGGCTGACGCGGCTGTATCTTAAACAGCAAACCATGCCCCCATCAAGCCGCCCGGTTGGGTGTTTACCTGTGGGCATGGTGCGCCAGCCAGGTGAGTGGGGCAGGAGCATAACACCCCCTGCGTGACTCAGAAATCACATCCCGCCCACAACACCTCCCTTCCGGGAGGAGGAGAGGCCTTGTGTAGCAATATATTTTCTTTCCAATAGAGATTGTGCAGCAAGATAATGTCTTCCATCATAGCCAAGGGAAGCAACTGCCATACAATTTTTCTGGCACAGCAATGGTACTCCAAGGAACAGAGGAAATCCATTCAGTACAATGGCAGAACACCTGCTTGCCTGAGTGCAAAGACAAAATACAAAACTACCTATCATCTGCCTGCAAAGGTTTTTCCTTATTGGCAGAGCCAGTATGAGTCCAACAACTAACATTGGTATCCAAGAAGATATGAACCTTTCCTCAGTAGTTAAGAATTTTAATTTTCAAGTTAGAGCATAATGGAAATTAATAGAAAATCAGTATTGTCCCAAATAATATTCATAACATTCTACACTTAGTCAAGACAATCCGCAGTATTCTAAGGCAAGACCCAGAAGGAACCAAACCACACAGTGTTTTCACTGGATGCCTCCCTGGTGCCCCTTTACCCCATTGCACAAACAAAATGCACTCCACACAGGGAACTTCCTAATGTCACAGACAGTCCAGCAACCATTGCTTGTATGTATGGACTAAATGACCTCTCCACACAAGTTGGAAATGCCAGATGCCCAGAGACAAGCAGCATGTATAACATGCAGGATGGTGTTTGGGTTCATTATTGCGTGTGTCTGCTCCCTATACACACTCTGGTAGTGGCAAATGTGTGAGCACACACCTATTACATTATGTCTGCTTTTTGCCCTTTGCTTGCCCTCATGTATCAGTAGTTATTTCAGAACAAGTTTACAATATAACCCACACACATCAAGATATGGACAGAATGTGTCTATATCAGGGTTAATGTTGTGGAGAATATGAATATGTCATCTCTGACTCCATCATATGTCTTGACTCTTCTTCTTACTAGTGTACATATCACATTTCCCCCACTAACTTACAGTAAGCTCTAATTTACAGGCTTTGTTTTGCTGGAAGTGGTATCATCCCTAAGACAACACTCTGGAGACATGGATTTAAACCATGTGATTATCTCAGATTATTATGATTCATCTTCAGTCTTGCCAAAAGCTAACATAGTGTGGAACCTTATATAAAATATACCATGTTTGCTGAGAACTGGAATAGGGAGGTTTCGAGAGGAAGAACTATACCAATCTAAGCTTTGGCAATTTCAACTTTTGAAAAGAATATGGATCCAATGAAGGAAGCATTTTTTAAAGGAGATGCTGATAGGCAGAAAACTGAATTCTAGGTCAAGATTTGCCCAGTGGTGACAGCAATGTCTTTGTGGTTCCTCTTCCTCTTTCTGTGGTTACAACTACCTTCGGCTGAGGGAAAGCAAGAAACTGTTTGTGCTGTGACTGATCCTTTCCAGTTCCCATTTGAGTATAATCAGAAAGGTGACCAAATCATCGGAGAGATAACATCTCAGCTTGGCTTTGTATTTGATGAGTTGTCTTTCAGTGAGCACCCTAAAACCGAGTCAGTTTATGAACTTCTGTAAGTATTTCCTCCCCTCCATTATATGGTCTAGGTCAAATAATATCTCATAAAATGTCACATTCAGAAATCAGTATGTACCATTAAAAGCATATTTTTGCAATTGTTTCAACGTGATATTCTTAATTGTTATCATTTTACCCTTTGTCCAGTGGGTGTATGCTGATGCACACAGGCTTCATGCAGGAGGTGGCTACGTTCCTCATGCAGTGGCACACAATGGAAAATGTTATGTACTTCCCTCTTGAGCAACCCATCACCCATATTTTGGGCACCATGAGGACTGAGCACCGGGATTGTTCCACAATCAACAAAAGGAAAATAGATAGATATTGATGCAGACAGTGCTGCATGGAGTAACAACCTGGCTCATGAATGAAACAACCAGGTCCTTGGGCTCATGCCACCTGCTGGCAATTCATGTGACCACACTCTTTCTTAGCGGCAGACCTACACTCATAATTCACAAAATGAATTAATTTAGAAGTATGCCTTGTGACATTTTAGAACAATATATGTAATATTGTTCTAATAGTGTTAAACAGGTCAGTGTAGATCCAGCCACGGGCACACAGACCAGCCTTGCACCTCAGCAGGATTCATTGTTCCCCTCTTTGCCTCATCTCAGAGTTGTTCCGCCTGGCCTTTGGCTTGGAGTCAATTTGATTCCCTCCCCCTCCTCTTTTTTTCCTTTCTCCTCCTATGATGTGGCTGCATTTTAATGTTTTAATGTTGTATTTCAATCTTGTTTTTAAGTTATATTCATTCAACCTTGGCTGGGGAGGGTGGGGTATAAATAAATTTTTGTTGTTGTTGTTGTTATATCTGTTTCATGCTCTCCCTCACAATCCTCACAGACATAAACTTACTAAGGGATTTTTATCAGTCTTACATATGCTATAAACCTTTATTTAGGGCTATCTCGAAGAAATATCAGCATATACTGTCCTTGGTATTTGCTGTGAAGGAGATCAATGACAACACAAAGATCCTAACAAATGTCACCCTGGGCTTTCACATCTATGACAGCTATACAAATGCGAGAATGACTCACCAGAACACATTGAAGCTTCTGTCCACCACAGAAAGGATTTTTCCCAACTTCAAATGCGACAAGAAAAAGAATCTGATAGCGGTTATTGGAGGACTTGACTCCGACATTTCCCTTCACATGGCTATTCTCTTAGGCATATACAAGATCCCACAGGTAGACTGAGAGTGTAGTTCATGAAGTTTTTATGACTACAATGCTGAAAATCATTCTATTCCCTCAGAATATTGTTTCTTTTTTGTTCTCTCTGTCTGAAAGTGACCAAAAGTGAAATGTTAGGTTTTACTAATTTGTCAAAAAGCTATCCATGTTGGTGACAATAATTCACTTTTAACACTTCTCTGCGTGATATGCACATGGAACAAGGCACTATGCATTGTTTTATCTTGAGGTCGGTATGATGTTTGAAAATCGCAATATTCTCTAAAGTGTTTTGTTCCTCTTTATGATCTGCAAAGTTGATGCAAGAGTATGCATAAACCTCCATGTGGATAATGCATAGGGTTATGTTGTTTAGGTGCCCACCTCAGTATGATAATCTATGCATAAGGTCAAATTCAGCACACATGCCCAAGAGTCTGATATGACTGAAAAAACACAATTCACATCAGGTATGTTTTCTATCTGGGGACACGGGTGGCGCTGTGGGTAAAAGCCTCAGCGCCTAGGGCTTGCCGATCAAAAGGTCGGCGGATCGAATCCCCGCGGCGGGGTGCACTCCCGCTGCTCGGTCCCAGCGCCTGCCAACCTAGCAGTTCGAAAGCACCCCCGGGTGCAAGTAGATAAATAGGGACCGCTTACCAGCGGGAAGGTAAACGGCGTTTCCGTGTGCTACGCTGGCTCGCCAGATGCAGCTTTGTCACACTGGCCACGTGACCCGGAAGTGTCTCCGGACAGCGCTGGCCCCCGGCCTCTTAAGTGAGATGGGCGCACAACCCTAGAGTCTGTCAAGACTGGCCCGTATGGACAGGGGTACCTTTACCTTTACCTATGTTTTCTATCAGGGTGCAAGACAGAATCCAGGCAGCAAGGCACCCCACTTATCAATTCTTGTTGTTATTTACTCACCCTTCAACCTAAGGTCCCAGGGTGGATTGTAACATTAAAACACAATTTTAAAACACTCTAAAACAAATTACAATCACAGATCACAAACACAGACTGATGCTATGAGCAAGCTTTACACCCTGTGCGGTACAGGAGTTACCAAAGAGAACCTCTCACACTCCCTTCATGGTCCAACTGCAACACAACATTGCAGTGCTGCAACTGAGTCTTACCCTCCAGTAGTTACTGTCACCAGTCTCCCACTTACTCCTACAGCCGAGATGGAAGGGGACCAGGGAGTCACTATAGGAATTCCTTTTTGAGCTTCCCTTATGAGTTACTCAGAGTGTTGAAGCAGCTCACACTCTCTCTGAGGCTCTCCAAGACATCAGAAGAGTGTGCTGGTCACTTACCACTCCAGTCCTAAACAATTCCAGTAAACTGACTGTCAAGCATCTGGGCTCACAGAGGTTCTTAAACCCTGAGACTGGCAATCACAGGCATCTCAGCAGTCAAATTAAACCCACAGGGAAATAAACCACATCACTGTGGCTCTAAAACTGGACTAATCCTAACCTTTTCTACAAAAGTTGTCCTGGTCTACTCACCTATAGGCAGCTTCATAGAAAGTCCAATCTGTAACTCTGCTGTTGAGGGGGAACCTGGATTCCTGTACTGAAAAGGGAACAAGGCTACAAGAGCAGCTCAGGTGTAGGTGGGGAAAAAATAACCTACAAACAAGGTGGGTCATCCCAAAATTCCTACTTGCCTGTAAAGCAACCAACAAACCCAACAGAGAGGGGGGGAGGGGGAGGTGCTCCTGACAGAAGAAGAACCATTAGCTAGGGCAGACCACCTAATGCACAAGCATGCATGTGAAACAGGAGTATCATGCATACTTCTTCTTTAGGCCTGAACAGCCTACAAATCTGTCCTCCTCGCTGTTAGCAAGGTGAACAGGGCAGCAGACAACGCCCTCTGAGGTAAGATCACCTTAGACCCGCATACAGAGATATTAGAATGTTGGTGTATGGTTTATTCCATTTTTAGTTTATGGTGGTTTAATTTATTGATGTTAATTCATTTTGTCAATACTTTAATTGTTTGATCTTTCTTATAAACCACTTTGAATATTTGTGTTTACAGTCAAGTGGTGTATAACTTCTCTGAAATAAAATAAAATAAAATAATTTTTTCCCCTGAATATTAGGTGGTCTACTTAGAATAAAATATAAATAAATGCTATTTGGAATTAATTATGAACTGCTGTTTTCCCCTACTCTCAGATTGCCAGTTGTGTATTAGCTCCAGTGATGAGACTTGGACCCCAGTTCCCTTCTTTCTACCGGATGGTCCCCAATGAAGCATATCAATATAAAGGGATTGTCTACCTACTTCTGCATTTCCACTGGATTTGGGTAGGGCTTGTTGCATCAGGTGATGACAATGGGGAAATTTTTGTGCAAACCTTGATGCCAATACTTTCCCAACATGGTATCTGTACAGCCTTCACTGAAAAAACACCCTCCATATCTCAAACCGCAGAAAACCTGGGTTCATTAGGACTATTCCGGGCCAAGTCCTTTTCTATGACCATCTCAAAAATCAAAGTTTTGGTTGTATGTGCAGAACCACAGACCATGACAGCTTTAATATGGATGATATATTTCTTTTCATTATTAGAAGGTGCCACTGAAACTTCTATGGGTAAAGTGTGGATTATGACTGCCCACTGGGATTTCTCATTAGAATCTATGCACAGGGCTTCAGATATTCAAGTCTTTAATGGTGCCTTGTCTTTTGTAATATACTCCAAGGAAGTTCTGGGGTTTACACAATTCCTGCAGAACCTACATCCTGATTCTGCCAAAGGAGATGGTTTTATCAGAATCTTCTGGCAACAGGCATTCAACTGCTTATTTCCTGATTCTAATGAGCACAGGGAAGAGGCTGATTCTTGTACTGGACTAGAGAGTCTCAAGAACCTCCCTGGAACTTTGTTTGAAATGAGCATGACAGGCCAAAGTTACAGCATCTATAATGCAGCCCAGGCCATAGCATATACCTTACACAGGTTAAATCTATTCAGGATAAATGAGCAATGGTCAATGGAAGACTAGATCCTCAAAATTTGCAACCTTGGCAGGTAAGAGTGGACATTCAAAGCCACCTTCTTGTCAGACAAAAATACACAGCATAGTAACAAACAAATGAAATATCCCTCCCACAGTTTAAAAGGCCATAGATTCTCATGGGTTGGAACCAAGAGCCATCTAGCCTAGTGTTCTGTTGAAATAGCGGGCAGATACCTATGAGAAGCCAACAAGCAGGACTTAAGCAGGACATAACACTCTTCCATTTGCTAACCAAGGTGCTGACACTCAACAGCAGAATTCTTGCAATATTCAAAACAAAAAAATTCCTTCCAGTAGCACGGCTACCTATCTGTAATTGCAATATTCAGCCATAGTGAATAAAAGCCAACAACAGCCCATAGATTTATCTAAAAATCACCTAAAGCTGTCTGTGTTTCTTTCTTTTCTTCTTTTCATGTTTCTTTGACTATTCCTAGAGAGTAGTACTCAGAGGATTTTCTGCTAAGACAAAGATTGGATAGCCAGAAGTTAGTAGTTATATTCAATGCTCTGCACTTTGTGTGCTTCTCGTACCGCATCCTTACAGTCTACTGCCCAACTTTGGTACATCAGTTTCTGCACCATAGAAGAAACATATTTTCTACTGTAACTGCAACATAATTTTCTTCCTAGCGGTGGCCACTTTTTATTGTAAACAAAATACCGTATTTTTTGCTCTATAGGACGCACTTTCCCCCTCCAAAAATGAAGGGGAAATGTGTGTGCATCCTATGGAGCGAATGCAGGCTTTCACCGGCTTTTGCGCGCAACCTCGCCCCTGCTCCCGGACCCGTTCTGGGGGTTGCGGTTGGGGGAAGCTCTGGCTTCCCCAACCCCCAGCCTGGCAAGCTCCGGGAGCGAAGGCGAGGTTGCACGGAACCTCACCTTCGCTCCCGAAGCTTGCTGCTATCCACAAGCCTTCTGAGCCATTCTGGTGGCTGGGGTCGGGGGAAGCTCAGGCTTCCCCCGCCCTCAGCCCGGCAAGCTCCGGGAGCGAAAGCGAGGTTGCGCGCAACCTCGCCTTCCTGCCGGACCCGTTCCGGAGGCTGGGGTCGGGGGAAGCTCCAGCCCCGCGGCTAAAAAGGAAGCCAAGACAGCTAGCGGGATCCATCCCGCTAGCTGTCTTGGCTTCTGCCAAAGCCGCGTGCAGCCTCTCCCGGCTGGAGAGGTTGTGCATGGCTAAAGATGGATCTCGCTGGCTGTCTTGGCTTCTTTGCTCTTTGGGGCTGAGAGGGGGAAATAATTTTTTTTTCTTTATCCCCCCCCCAAAAAAAAACCTAGGTGCGCCCTATGGTCCGGTGCTCCCTATAGAGCGAAAAATACGGTACTCTGCTGTTTGTATTGTTTTTGACTCTTCTTTACTGTGATCATTATGAAATGATTGTTTTCCTCTTTCAAAATAGGAAAATATGTTTTCCACTTTCATGTTTTTGCAAAACTTATGTTTAATTCTTCCAATTTAGCTTAACCTTTTCTTGAAAAGCATCTCATTTAACAACAGTGGGGGTGATACCGTTTCTTTTGATGAGAATGGTGAATTAGCATCTGGATACGATATTGTAAATTGGGTGATTTTCCCAAATCACTCCTTTTTCAAGGTGAAAGTAGGAATGATGGACCCATGGGCATCACCAGGCCAAGAATTCAGAGTGAACGAGAAGGCCATCACATGGAACAGTGCATTTAATCAGGTGGGATTATATGCATACATACCTACATATAAATGTCTACACTCCACTAGTTCCAAGAAACTTGGGTGCTCATGTATAGAAGCTGTGACCCATAATCTCAGATGCTTATCCTAGTGTATGAAGGGAGGGTGTGGAGCAGAGATCTGTGTTATTACGCATGGAACCAGAAACAGCCCCTTAAATTTCAAAATAAACCCACCATTCAACAGTCTGTCCATCCCCATTTCCCCAGTGGAAGAATACCAGTTTTGAACTTGTTGCTAACGACACCTTAAGCATTTAGATTACAATCAAGGGAATGATTCATTTGACTCCTAGTTTTGATTTCATACTGATCCCCCCTTCTTCATTTAACAACATGGGAAAATGTTTTCAAAGCGGGAATCTATGCATAGCCCTCTTGTGATCTATGGGACTGATTTTGGCTGTTTTCTTTACGAAACAAATTAGTAAAATAATTTACAGGACAAATGAGACAAAATAATTCTCTTTTTATGAATAGGCGCTTCCCCTTGCCAGGTGTAATGACCACTGCCATCCTGGCTACAGCAGAAAAAAGAAAGAGGGAAAGCCATTTTGTTGCTATGATTGTGCTCCATGTCCAGAAGGGATGATTTCAGACAAAAATGGTAGGAGATGTATTGCCACCATTTTCCACAGCAGCAACTCAGTTCACCAACACATATTGCATAATCCCAAAAATTAGTTTAATTTATTTGCTTGTTTATTTCAGACATGATTACTTGCTTCAAGTGCCCAGAAGATTGCTTCCCAAACAAGGAACAAGATCAATGCATCCCTAGGCTCCTGAATTTCCTCTCTTTCTCAGAACCTTTCGGTATCACTTTATCTCTCTTGGCTCTGTCTTTTTCTTTGATCACTGCTTTTGTGCTCAGAGTCTTCACTAAGTATCAAGACACTCCCATTGTCAAGGCCAACAATCGGGACCTCACCTATGCTCTGCTCATCTGCCTATTGTTCTGCTTCCTCTGCTGCTTCCTATTCCTTGGCTGGCCTCACACAGTGACCTGCTATTTAAGACAAACAGTTTTTGGAGTCATCTTCACTGTGGCTCTTTCAAGCATATTGGCAAAAACTGTCACTGTGGTTTTAGCATTTGCAGTCACCAAACCAGGATCCAGGATGTTGAAATGGGTTGGGAAACAAATTTCCCATTTCATTCTCTTTGGTTGCTCCTTTGTTCAAGTCTGTATTTGTACTGTATGGCTAAGTACTGCTCCTCCCTTCCCAAATTTTGATATGCACTGCCTGGCAGAAGAAATAATAGCAGAATGCAATGAAGGGTCAGTTTTTATGTTCTATTGTGTCTTGGGGTACTTGGGATTTCTGGCCACGGTCAGCTTCACTGTGGCATTTCTGGCCAGGAAGTTGCCGGACAGCTTCAATGAGGCCAAGTTCATCACTTTCAGCATGTTGGTGTTTTGTAGTGTTTGGTTGTCCTTTGTGCCCTCTTACCTGAGCACAAAGGGGAAATACATGGTGGCTGTGGAGATTTTCTCTATCTTGGCCTCCAGTGCTGGGTTGCTGGGTTGCATATTTGCCCCTAAATGCTACATAATAATTCTGAGGCCTCATTTGAACACTAAGGACCAATTAACCTGGAGAAAATATTAAGAATCTAATCATCTTTAAATTTTATATGATCTTAAAATGGTGGTATTTATTAAAGAATAATATTACTAAAAGATATAATTTACTCCTTTGTTTTTCCCAAATACTATTTTCCGCACACTAAGCTAGGACTAAGTGTTTAGAATGTGGTGCAAAACTCTTTACTTCTATGATTCAGTGCTTTCTTCATTCTCCTGTTTATTTGGGCTTCTGAAACTGTATCTGTCATGAAAAGTTTATCTATGATGGGTGTAGATGTTCCCCCATTGACTAGTCATTTATGTGACTTCCACTGAGGCAAAACCTCATGTGTCCCCTCAACTACCTATGATAGTTTAATTTTGTAGAAATGTTATGGCTTTGTATTATATTTGCAAAACATGAGGGTCAGAATACTGGACTGCCACATGGCCAAAAATCATTTTGGAAGGACCTACTTTCCATGAGTATAGTGAATGATAGTGAACCTGTCAGAAAGTGAATGTACTGTGACGGTTTCTATCTTTTATAATAAAATATTGTGTTAAGGATATGCAATGCAAGAGTGTTTTTGTAATTTTTAAAAGTTATGTTAGTTTGTAAATGTAATGAATGCAAAAATATTTATTTGTTTATTTGTGCCTGATTACTACAATGCATCAATATACATGAAACTTCTATTCCAAATAAGCAGGCTCTTTGCCTCTGTCCTGGAGTTCCTCTATGCTTTTGCACTTCTCTCTCTGAGCTCTTTTGAGAGCTCATGTTACTTGTCTCACTAACTTAAAGTGAGATCTGATATTATTTTCCAGGCATGGAAAACATTTTACATCTCTTACTCAACATACTTTGCGTTACTTTATTCGATCTTCAGATAGCACAGAATGTCATCTCTGCCCCCCACCAACTACTTGAAATTTCTGGGAAAACTTTCTTTTTCTAGGCATTTCTCAATTAACAATAATCTTTTCCCCATCCCTGGCCCCCTATTGTACATCTCAGATGCTAAAGCTCCATAGATGCTCGTGTAGAATGACCTACTTGCTTGTGGTAAGAATGTTGAAGAATTATTTTTGTTATAATTAAATCCGTAACTATCATTCATATGTTCGAACCCCCTAATTTCAGATTTGACCTTTACACTTTGTGACACACCCTGAACACCAATTGGTCACATTGATCATATGCTCACTGGAAGACTGAATACTGAATAAGCCTTTACAGGAAAATTAATAATGATCTCAAGTATCATTGATGTTCTCATACTAGTTTAACTTTTTCATTTGGCTTGAAACCAACAGCAGTTTTATCTCAACCTCATAGTGTACTGGGAAGAAGAAGGGGAGACCAAAGGGGGAGATCCATCTTGGGCAAGGTGCCTGAAGGTTAGATGGGAGAGATACCTTGCACTCCAATGATGCACTGCTGTGGGGAACAGGTTCTTCTTGAAACTGCCATGCTGTAAAATTAGGACTCCATGCAGATTGAAGGTGTAAATATCTGAATAAATTAAATTTCTGAAAGTTACGACAGTCTCTGCCACATCTTCAATTGTACAAAGGAGCACAAACCCCAGGAGAATGCCTGCACTCCTTTGGGGAAATTCATATCCTAAATAGATAGTACCCTGCCCTACTTCCATCCCATGGGCCCTAGTCATCTCTTGTCACTTTTGTCTCATATCCCTACTGAGTGCACATGCAACATTTGTCCCACATATGGTACACTGAGATGTGATAACTTGTCTTCTGTTCCTGAAAATTATGTTTGTATAGGAAAGTACTCTGAAAAAATTACATTGGACCCTGTAATTTATACTAAATACTATGACTCCTCCTGTACTTTAGCAAACTCCCCATGGATTTGTCATGCTACAGTGGTAATCAAAAACAATATGAAACCCATATAGAGTATACCTTTGTACAGAGCTTGATGACAGGAAAGAACAATGCCAGTCTAATTGTCAAGTTCACCTTATCAAAAGAATCTGGAGCCACAGAAGAAAGACTGTGACAACATAGTGGAAGGTTCATAGCAGACAGAAAACACAATTCTTGGTCGATATTTACCCTAAGAGAAAAATGTCTATGTGGTTACTATTCCTCTTTCTGTGGCTGCAGCTGCCCTCAGCTGATGGAAAGGAAGACACTGTTATGTGTATTACAACTGATCTCTTCCAGCTCCCCTATGAATATTATCAGAAAGGGGATGTACTTATTGGAGAGATGACTTCTCAGCTTGGCTGTGTGATGGATGAAATATCTTTTAGTGAACACCCTAAAACAAAGTTTGCAGATCAGCTTCTGTAAGGACTCTCCCCCACCCACCTGCCCAAATAGACACAAGATTAGGTCACATACAATCTAAAGAAGCCATACAAGTACCTGCAGTTAATATGAATGGATTATTCAAAGGTGTATATGATATCCCATCTACACTATATTACTGGTATTCATTTGCACCAGTTTGCTTTTCCACATATGAGTGGAAAGCACTTGCTGCACATTGCCTCTTTAACCATTCCCCCCCTTTTTTTTAGTAACAAAGGTTTCAACTGGCAGCCAGGACTCACATTTTTGCACCAATAAAGCCTGGGAATTAGGAGTTGTGCACACAAAACAAAGAAAAGACAGGCTGAGCTTGGCTACTTAATGTGAGCAACCTGTGGCCAGTATGACATACCCCAATATTGTTTTTCCTCATCATCTTGTCAACTGCAGCACACACTCTATGTTCTGTATTTATATACTAGTAGTGCCTGGGTACTGAACATATTATATACTCAATCATCATTGCTAGAATAGCTTTTCTTAAATAAAACACACACACACACACACACACACACACACACACCCTCTCTGAGCTCAGTGTGAAGGACATTACTTCTATGGACTCCAGGTTTGGCTTCAAGTTGTTGTTCCTCTCTGACCCACCCATGATTGCCTCATTTTGTTTGCTCCACTGATGCATGTTTTCTTGCCATAGCAGATGCCTTGACAGCATGTTCCAGTATTAGATAAATTGTTCAACTGCACATTTTGTATCAGATGTAAGTAGAACTTATGCCATATCATAATGACAACTTCCAGAAGGTTTATCTACATTATCAATAAATACTTATTTTTCTTGTAGATTTGAAAATATGGCAACTTAAGACCTAATTATGTTTGCTGCAAAAATGATATAAGCAAGGTAATTCTCACAGACAGGTGATAACATGAAGGGTTGAGGGTTAGATATCTGTCTTATGCAAGATGCAATTTTTAATTTAGTGCTACACCGAAGAACTATCAGCATGTCCTATCCTCGGCATTTGCTGTGAAAGAGATCAATGAGAATCCAAAGATCCTACCAAATGTCAGCCTGGGGTTCCACACTTATGATAGCTACACAAATGAAAGGATGACTCATCAGAACACCTTGAAGCTTCTGTCCAGCACAGAAAGAATTGTCCCTAACTTCATATGTGACAGGAAAAAGAATATGATGGCTGTTATTGGGGGACAAGACTCTGACATTACCCTTCACATGGCTACTATCTTAGACGTCTACAAGATTGCACAGGTAGGATGAGTGTGTGTGCAATCAAGCTTTTTGGAATCTAATATAATAGGCCTTCCCTGGCATTTTCTAAACTTTATTTCTATTACACTCTTCTTTTATAAGTGAGGAAAATATTGCATGGGCAAAATGTATAATTGATTCCAAAGCTCAATTCTTTGCTTATATTTCTATTTTGGAAAATTTGAATAAATCTTGGCAGTTTAGTTTGACTTCTGAGCATCATGTTGAAATTAATCCTATTTCCCCTTAGGTGGCCTACTGCGTACTAGCTCCAGTGAGGAGTATTAAAGCCCAGCTTCCTTCCCTCTACCGAATGGTTCCCAAAGAAATCTATCAATACAAAGGAATTGCACAGCTACTTCTCCATTTCCAGTGGATATGGGTGGGGATTATTGCAACAGATGATGAGAGTGGAGAAACATTTATGGAGATCTTGATCCCATTGCTCTCTCAGCATGGAATCTGTACAGCCTTCTATCAAAAAATGCCATCCTTATCTCAAGCTATAGAGAATTTCAGTTCATTAGACATCATTCGGACCACATCTGTTCGCTTCATCACTTCAGAAGTCAAAGTACTGATTGTATGTGCAGAACCTAAGACCATTGCAGCTTTGATATGGATTATATATTTATTTTCCTTATTAGAAGGTATTAGAGAGACTTCTATAGGAAAGGTGTGGATTATGACAGCACAATGGAATTTTTCGCCAGAAATACTGCACAAAGATTTTGATATACAGGTCTTTGATGGCACATTGTCTTTTGCAATCCACTCAAATGAAATGCAGAGTTTCACAAGCTTCCTGAAGACATTGAATCCTAACACTGCCAATGAAGATGGTTTTATCAGGATCTTCTGGGAGCAGGCTTTCAACTGCTTCTTTTCTGCTTCTAATGAGCACAAGGAAAGGATGGACAGCTGCACTGGCCTGGAGAAGCTGGAAAGCCTCCCTGGGACCCTGTTTGAAATTAGCATGACTGGCCAAAGCTACAGCATCTACAATGCAGTTCATGCCATAGCACATTCTTTGCATAGGATGTACTCATCCATGTCAAAACACAGAGCCATGGCAAAGAGAAGTAAACTAGATCATAAAAATCTTAAGTCTTGGCGGGTGAGATTTCACACCCAGAACAACCACTTGGTCGGTTGGAATACATCAAAAGAATAAAACCAGCACACAATTTTCACCTCTGTTTTAAACTGCTACCTCTTCCAGCTTGCTTGTTTTCGTTTTCTTGAGCCTATTTTATTTTAACTACTGTTTTGTGTTTGTGTATTTATCAATTATATTTTCCTTGAAAGCTAGCATAAAAATACTTTAATAATAAATATATAAATATCTATTACCTATATGTTTCTGAAAATTGTAGTGTAAACACATCCCTTTTCTGAAACCTAGTTTAAAGAAGAAATTTCATTATCCCCATAATAGTGCATCTATGGCCATTTTTCTT